GCTATGGGGGGTATGTAGGTGTTGGGGGGTGAGGTGGGTCTGAGGGATCAGTGAAGGGAGTCCTGTGGGGCAGGAGGGGAGTCCTATGGGGCTGAGGGGCCTGTGTGAGGATTGAAGGGGTCCTGAGAGGTCTGTGAGGGTCCTGAGGGACCTGTGAAGGGGAGAGTGTGGGGTGGGGGCCATCCTGTGGAGCTGGTGTGGTCATAGGGGGAGAGTGTGAGCTGGGGAGCCTGGAGCAGGTTTTGGGATCTGTGGGGATCTGTATGGGCTGTGGGAAGGCGCGGGGGATGAGGTGGGGGGTTCGGCAGCTTGAGGGTGGGCTCAGGGCTGGTGTCACAGCCTTGAGGTCGGGACAGGAAGGGGCGTTGTGGCCTCAATGGTTTGCTTTTGGGTCAGAGTGTGGGGCTGGGCCTGGGGTCAGGGGTGAGTTTGGGATGAAGATTGGGAGTATGCTCAGGGTTGCATCTCAGGGGCTTGGTCTTGGGGTTCAGGGGGCTGCCTGGGCTCAGACTGGGAATCACAACATACCTGGTTATGAAGCCCAGCGAGCTTCTCATTATAAAGCATGGAGGTGAGTGATCCCCTTTTCTAACACGTAATTATTCCTGACAGCGAAGCAGATATCCCCATCGATGTCGAGACGGTGACTCCCACGCCTGTGCCGCTCTATGACAACCAGAAGGCGCGCAGCGTGATGAACGAGTGCGAGCGCCATGTCATGTTTGCTCGCACGGACGCTGACGCCCCTCCGCCGCCGGACGACTGGGAGGAACACGTCAACAGGTAGCACAGGGATAGCAGAGAAAAGAAATTCGGGTGCTAAACAGTTGCCTGTTGCTTGGGGTGGTTTTTTTATCTCAGTGTGACTCGATACGCAGTGACGCTCGTGAACCAAATGCTCAAAGGGAATGAATTCTTGTGTCCAAATTCCTTGTCTGCTTGCTGTAAAAGCTGTCGAATGTAATGGTAGGGGCTGGCCCAGCTGTTGAACCTCTCCCACATGCTTCACGTGAAGCGCTCTCTGTTCGGAGGAGGCTGGGATGTAGATCCTCAATTCAGCCATATTCCAATGTCAAAAATTAAAAATGAGGCTGTGCATAAATTCCACCCTATTAAAAACCCTCCCTGTAACTGTAGTCAAGTCAGTTCACAGTTTTGACATTACGAGGAATTGATTTTTTTTTTTTTTTTTTTTTTTTTTCTGGGCAGTTTGTCTGAGGAACGTGGCAATAACCTATGCTAAACGGAGTCTTTTGGTCTTATTTATTGCTTTTGCTGTTACTCTCACCTTTCTGATGCTTGGGTGTTCACTGACACACCCTACTGACATTTAAAACCTGGTGTTTTTTATTGAACAGTCCTCTAACTTTAAATCCTCGTAGCGAAACTTGCTTTGCCCGTAGCCGTAGATCAGTTCTTGAGGCTGCAGTGGCAGCTGCTGCCCAGCTGTGCTGCCGACTGCCTTTGGGACCGGGCAGCAGCTTGCAGGCCCTGGGTGCCTGTGGAACCTGCGTTACCTCTCTGCTTTTCCCGACAGGACGGGTTGGACGATGGCCCAGAACAAACTATTTAACAAAATTCACAAAGCGCTGCAGTCTGACAGGCTGGCTCGCTTGGCTAACGAAGGGGTAAGGTCTTTTACTCCCTATTTCGCTTCCCAGCAGAGTCGCTGCCTGGGAGTTTTTATCAGTCCTTCCTAGCAAAGCCTGAGTTGAGATGAAAGTCTCGGCCTTTGGGCTGTGTAGTCTTAAAAAAACCTGGCAGCTCTGGGCTTGTTTGAGGCACGATATTGTCCTCGCTTGCGAGGGCGTTGCTCTTTGCTTGCTGCCTGATGACTTGGGGCTGCCCAAGCCAATACTTCCCTGTGGCTTGGGATGTACATAGCATGCTTGATTTTTTTCTTTTTCCCCATAACTGTGTTTCTTTTTAATTTCCTGGTTTTTAGGCTTGTAACGAGCCGGTCCTGAGGAGGATAGCGGTGGACAAATGCGCTCGGAGGGTCCGCCAAGCTCTGGCTAGCGTGAACTGGGACACCAAACTGATCCAGTGGCTTCACACGACCTTGGTGGAAACCCTCAGTTTGCCAGTGCTGGCTGCTTACTTGGATGCTCTGCAAACCCTTAAAGGAAAGGTGATAAAGGCAGTGAAGGGCTTTGCTATCCTTTATGATGTTCTCCCTTTGCAAAGCGTGTTTGAGGAAGCTCTGATCTGAGCTTTTATCCTTTTTCTTTGGAGCGCCTGTGTGCGTTTGCTGAGTCCTTTTGGGCCTCTGGTTTCAGATCCCCACCCTGATCGACAGGATGCTGCTCTCCTCTACCACGAAGACAGGGGCAGCGGGTGCTGAGGCTCTGTCTCTGCTGCTGAAGAGACCGTGGGACCCAGCAGTGGGTGTCTTGTCGCACAATAAGCCAGTGAGTATCTCTTGGGGCTTGTGGGGAGCTGGAGGCTGCTCTCCCATTGGCTTTATCCTTCCTGTCCTTCTGCTGCCCTCTTCCTTCTGCCTCTGTCTTGCTTCCTGGGCTCTTTTCCTCCTGCTTTAGGCTTGCTCAGTGAGGGGAACTCCTTTTGGGACACTTTCTCCCCCATACTCTCCTTTGGCTGGGGGAAAATATGGTCAATTAATGTGACTAATTCACGAGCTATGCGAGATCCCTCCTGCTTTGTTGTGCGGGCCGGGCAGAGAGGTCTTGGGCAGGGAAGTTGCTTTCCCTTACGCAGTTCTTTGTTGAACTTTGTAGAGCAAATTGCCTGGTTCCCCCCTCATCCTGATTGCTTCCTCTGGACCCTCCAACTCCATGTTCCCCACTTCTCGACGGCACCGATTCTGGCAGTCGCAGCTTTCCTGCTTGGGAAAGGTTTGTATGGTTGGTTTTGAAAGGAGGGGAATTCAAACTAGCGGTTGTGCTAGACTGCAGCTGCTGAGCTTGTCTTTATAAGCCTTCGGTGCACCAAAATACTCTGTTCCGCTGAAGGCAGAGGCTGGCATCTGCCCCCTGCAGTGTTTATTGTTTGAGATGCTGTGCAGAGGATGAAGTTGCCCAAATATGATGTGGTTTTGCTGACCAAAGTCATCCATCTTCAGCAGTTCAGATTGTAGTGTTACTGTTATTAAGGACTGATGAGTCTTCTGGGTAGGAAGAGGTTGGAGGAGGGAGCCTACAGGATACCCGAGTCCTCTGCCTGAGTGTGGAGCTGCTCACTTTCCTCCTAATGTGGTGGATATGCTGGGTGTATAGGAGGGAGGTGAGTAGCAGAGGTTGTCTCTGTGGGCAATTCTTTATTTCCTCTGCTTTTAGTAGCTAGAAGTGAATCCTGGGGGAAAGAGGGGCAGAGAAAGCACAAGCTCCTGCATAAACTAGGTTCCAGTCCATGCTAATTGTCGGTAGCTGCTGTTCACAGTAATGTCTTTGTTATTTATTGATCTTCCATTTCAAACCACAGGTGATTCCCATCGCCACCCACCTGCTTTTTGAACACATGATCGGGGCGGTGAGGGGCAAAGTGGCGGAGGTAAGCGAGAGCGACGAGCTTATTGGGGAGCCTTTGCTGTTCCTTTCAACTGTTCCCCTTGCCGCCTGTGGGTGCTGTGCCACCCCCGTGCATCGTCCCCTTGTCTGTCCCTCTTTTCCATCCATGTCTTTTCTTCCATAGATTCACAACCACTTCTCTCACAAGCCGATCATCCTGATCGGGTGGAACACGGGTGCCTTGGTGGCCTGTCACGTAAGTACCCGATTCCTTTGCATCCTCTCAGAGCCCACAGCTTTAGTTCGGAGTTAGATTTCAATTATTGTTGTGTTGGGGCTCTGCCGTGGTGGTTCTCCCTTTTCTCTTTCCAAGGCCTGGCTTTGAGACAGACATCCTTTCTGGTCATGGGGGCATAAGCAATTTGAGGCATTCAGTGTTTTGGTTTTTTTTTTTCCCCCCACTCTCTTAATCAACAAAGCAAAGCCTAAATATGGAAGATATGTCTTGTGCCCAGCAGGAGCCTGGCACAGCAGCCTTCGCACCCATGATGCGCTTGTTAGGATGCTGACTGTTGCTTTTTCTACCCAGGTTTCAGTGATGGAGTACGTCACTGCAGTTGTGTGCCTTGGATTCCCGCTGCTCACTGTTGATGGCCCCAGAGGGGTAAGGACCAAAGGGAGATGGAGCCATTTAAAAAACTGTACTTTTTTGGGTTTGTTTTTTAATCTCCCTAGATTGTTTCATGGAATCGGGCTTGGAAGTCCAGTGATAATTGCAAGGACTTTTTTGAGGACTGTCTGTGTGATTTTTGTTTGTTTGGAGGTGGCGTTGCCCAGCAGGCAGGACTGTTGCATTCACAGTGGGATTCTTGATGCGATAAGCAGGCGCAAGAAGTCCCGTGTTTGCTCGTCTCTGCTGTGCCAGTTCTTGCAGCTCCTTCCTGGGGTCGTGTCTGCAGGTCACTTGTGTCATTTGGCACCAGAGGTGACAACTTGGCTTGATTTATATGGAGCCCAAATTGCTACTCTGTTAGCTGACTGGTGTGTGACTGGGTCAGGACTGGTTACAGTTGTGCTAATGAAATGGCTGATTCTGAGGGTAGTGGAAATCTGTGTAAAAGGCGTTTGCTGGAGCATGGTGCAGCTCTGGAGCAGAGTTTTCTTCCGGACTCAGTACAGCTGGGTAAATCCCATCAGGGGCTTGCCCCAGGAAGCTTCGCTGTTGGTGCTTCTTCAGCCTTACCCTGTGTTTGTGCAGCAAGAGCTTGGAAGGAGGAAAATGCAGTGAAATAGAATTTCTGAGGGGGAGGGCGTCAGCCTCACCTGTTAACGAGCAACAGCACTGTGTACTCATTCAGCTTCCCAGTCAGTCTTTCTCATGAGACATTGAAACGAACTGCACAATTTTTCCTTCTCTCCTTTCAGGATGCAGTTGGTACGTGCTGGGATTGCATGTGCCTTCCCTTTTTGGAAATCCTCATCTAATTCAGGAAGGTGTTTAGCTCCAAAGACTCTGGGTCCTGGATCAGCCCTTCCTCACAGTTCCCCTTGCTCTTGCAGGATGTTGACGACCCCCTCCTGGAGATGAAGACCCCCGTCCTCTTTGTGATCGGTCAGAATTCCCTGCAGTGCAACATCGAAGCGATGGAAGATTTCCGGGAGAAAATACGAGCTGATAACAGCATGGTGGTGGTGGGAGGAGCAGATGACAATCTCAGGTAACGGTCTGTGAGACGGATGCTATCTTCCCAGGAGCACTGGGCAAGATCTGAGTGTGCTGCGTAAAAAAAAAAAAAAAACAAACCAAAAAAAACCCCAACAACAACAACAAAAAAAAACAACCCCAAAATTTTTGGAACTGTAACCAGATGGGAACTGCATAAAAGTGCTCTGTCAAGGTCAGCTTTGTTATCCAACATACCAGGTTTTGGATAGAGAATTGGTTTTATGTGATAAATCTGCATCGTTTCTCCCTGTGGGAAGTTAAAGCTCCAGGGTAGAGTGTGGTATGACACTAGAGCAAGTATTTGCCTTTTCATGCCACCCCTGGCTCTGGAATATGAAGCTTTTGGAGGTTGTGCACAGAATTGGGGTAAGGGAGGCTGTAAGACCCTTGCAGGAAGCAAGAAGATCTTAAGGTTTCGGTAGACTTTGGAGATTGTTCTCTTGTCGCACTTGTACATGTTTGGAATAACTGCACCAAAACACTGAGCCAGTCATGGATGAGAATCACAGAATGGCAAGGGTTGGAAGTGACCTTGGGAGATCATCTAGTCCAACCCTCCTGCTAAAGGAGAATAGGGTTGGCCTGATGCTAGAGCTGGACCCCGCAGCACAGGTGAGATTTTGGAGCATCAGATCAGTCAGAAATCTATAGTAGGGATAATCGGTAAAGGAGAGGAAAGAAAGAAACGTAAAACTCCCATACTGGGTCTGAAGACGGAGCTCTGAAGGGAAAGAAACATCGTGTTTGCTTTGCAAAATGCTTTGGGATGTTGGGCCTTTTTCCTCAGTTGTGGAAGTTGGTCTTGGCACTTCCGAGGGATGAATCTCATCTTTCCAGTAGACAGTGCTCTTGAGTTGAGAGCTGATGGAGCTGGCTTTTGCCTTACTCTGTGTCTGGCTGGGTAACGGAGCAAGATTGCTTGGATCTTGCTCTAGGGTGAAGAACAGCATTGCTAGTGTGAAAGTGGAGAACCAAATGTGTTGACTTCCATCTGTTTTTTGTTTTCAATAGGATAAGCAAAGCCAAAAAGAAGTCGGAAGGCCTGACCCAGAGTATGGTGGACAGGTGCATCCAGGTAACCACAGAAATCTTCCTTTTACACCTCGTATCTATTAAAAAAAAAAAAAAAAAAAAAATCTTTGGTGACCGCAAGTTATAACCTTACTGCCAGGATTGGTTGGAGGAAGATAAGCTGTCTCCTGAGGGGCATTTTGAAGTGGCTGTCTCCGTTCAGGAGAGACCTGAGCTTCCTGGTAGCACACCTTAAAGAACAGTTTTCTGAGCCTTCCAGTGCTGTTGGGATTATTGGAGAAACCGATGTGTTTCTCTCCCGTGCACTAGAAATCAGCAGAGTATGAGCTTTAATGAGAGAGCCAAGGTCTATCCGTAAGGTTTTACGGTTTCTTTTTGTGGCATGTTAAACCTAGAGAGCCATATCTGTCCCGTTGGGAATTTTGGGTTCTGTTTTTTGTTTCAAGCTGTGAAGATCAGTTGTTTAGAGACCTGCACACCACTTGGCCTATTTGTTTCATCCTTCCTAGGATGAAATAGCTGACTTCTTGACTGGAGTCCTCACCCGAGCAGAGAGCCACTCGGGCTCTGATCCCCGTGACCTGGATGCTGAGAAGAAGAAGAAGCCACGCGACTCGACGAGGAGGGATCTGTCCTTCGACTTGCCGGAAAGAACCAGCAGGCCCGCCTCGCCAGCAGCCAAAGTGCCCGCCTCACCTTCCGGCTCGGAGGTGAGGGTTTCTCTGGGATCCTTTGAGCTGGGGAAGGCTGAGGTTGTGTAAGGAAGATGCTTTCGTACCGCTGGAATACATGGTGAGAGATGTGGTTGGTGTTGGAAGAGGGAGATGAGAGGGTATGGAGGGACTAACAGCTTGCAGGGGGGCAAATGAACCTTCAGAAACAGAGCTGCTCCAGCAAAAGGATGCATGTTCTTGCCTGTGTGCTGCTATGCTTGGGGTTACGACCGCCTCGTAGGGAAGCACTGGGGGCAAGAGGTGTACCTTCTCTTTGAGCAGGACTTATCCAGCGTCTCCAGCAGCCCCACTTCAAGCCCCAAGACTAAAATGGCTGCTGTGTCCTCCATCCAGAAGCCCAGCCAGATCGGCACCACGCAGCTGCTGAAGAGGCAGGTGCAGAGGGCGGACACTGTCCTGACACACAAGCAGGCACAAGGTAATGCCCTGCAGCTTTCCCACCTTCTCCCCTCTTCATATCCAGATTTTTGGTCTCCATCTGTCCTGCCGTGTGTAGTTTTTTGTCTTCTGAGTTCTGTCTTGAATTCCAAGCTCCCCGCGGCAGCTCAGTCCCCCGTCGCTGTTGTTCGACGGCAGCAGCCTGTGGAGGGTTGAAGGTTGAAATTAGGTTGGAGATGGTGTTTCCACAGCTTGTGGGGCCTTGCTGCTCTTCAGAGGGAAGGATTTTCACTTGCTCTGGCTGACCAAATCACCACGTAGCCATACTCTAATTCTTTTTCAAGTGTGAGCCCCTTGATTGGTGTCTCATATCCTTGAAGGCTGCTTGGGAGAGAGAGACTAGAAGTACTCAAGAGGTGATTGAGGCTATTGAATTGTGACTGAAACAGCGGGGCTTGGGTAATTACAGAGTCATCTTGCATCAAATGGCAGTGGAAAACCTGCTCTGAATAAGAAACCAGCTTGAGCTGTGGGTTTGTTCAGTTTTTTTGGGTTTTTTTTTTTTTTTTTTGTCCGGTGCAGCTTCAGTGTGACTGTGAATGCTGTGAATGGTTTTGTCGATGATCCCTTCTGGCAAATAGCAGTGGCACCTGGGGAATAGTTCTCCATCCTCCCTTCTCTCCTTAATTCTTTGCTCAAGACAGACCTGAACAGGCTCATTGTTGTCTCCTGCAGCAGTGTGACCCTCTGCATTCTCCAAAGTCGTTCTCTAACTCAGGGAGGGAAGTTGAAGCTTGGCTCTCCCTTAATTTCTCAGACTATGGACTAAAGAAATTTATTCCTTTGTTGCTGTGGTTGAGGGAGGAAGTTTCTAGATGGCACGCAGGAGGAGGGTCAGTGGAGTGGGGTGTGTCGTGGCCGCCTTCTTTTGTCAGCAGTGCTGTTGCAGCGTGGCTTCTGGCCTGCATTTTGTGGCCGTAGCACAGGGATGCACTGGCTGATGTCTCCCAGCTTCTCGGTGCGACTGCTCGGTCAAGCTAGCTGTACCTCTCATAGCCAAGCCTGCTGTTGGTCCCTGGGCACCAGACCTTTTCCCCATGGCTGTGGGGCTGGAGAGGGCTCATGCTGTTGGGATATGCTCTCTGAGAAAGCTGGCACCATGCCCTTTCTAGTGTCGTATGTGCTACGCTGCCGTCTGGAGAGGAGGTCAGTGTGTCTCTGTTGTGCCCCTGTGGCTGGATAAGTTGTGTCCGGAGCTCTCTGCCTGCCTGCCTGCTCCGAGGTCTCTGTCTGTGGGTCGCAGTGGTGTCCCTGGAGTCCCCCGTCCCCCTCCAGAGCCGGGCTGTGATACTGTAATTCTCTCTGATTCATTTCAGCTCAGTTCGCTGCTTTTCTGAAACAAAACATGCTGGTGAGGAAAGCTCTTCCTCCTGGCACCTCTTCATGTCTTTTTGGTGAGTACCTCCTCACTTCTCGCTGTCTCTCTCTCTCTCTACCTCCCTCCTTCTCTCTCTCTGCTACCTTCTTTCATCATCTTCCTCTTCCCTTGCATTGGTTTGGGGATGTGGCCCAACGTGTCCCCTTGTCCCACTGCTTTTTGCTTTCTCATTGCTTTATTTGAAGCTAAAGCAAATGGCGAGCTGAGAGCATTAACTTTTCCTGAGCTCTTCCCTTCTCCCTGCTCTGATGGGTAAATCCCGCTCTTCGAGCCGAGTAGTTGGCAGCCAGTTTGCTCTGATGGGCTAAAACTTTGTAGACGATGCAATGACTCTTTGTGATTGTGAGTTTAACCCTTTCCTGTGCTGGGGCTAAGGGGGGGGACATGCACACCAGCCCGAGGGACCGTGTGTGTTGGTGGAATGTCCCAAACGTGGAGCAGTAAAGCGGGGAGCAGAAATAAGGGACTGCCAAGTGACTTGGAAGGGGCAGATGTAGAGACATGGAGCAGCATTTCTTGGCCAGAGAGAGTTCGAGAAGAGCAGAGAGGTCAGGGAGAGGGATGGCTTTGGAATGACGGTGATGTGGTGGGAGAGGGATGCTGTCTGGACTGGGAGACACACAGAATTGAGCAGCCTTCAGTCCTGTGGTCTCTCGTATTGGGTGCTGGAGCATGCAGAAAGGTGGACCTCAGCGTGTGCGGTGCCCTAAGGGTTGGGGACTGAGGGGTGAGATTCACAGCCTATCTAAAGACACGTTTTGCTGTCTCGAATGGCAGTGACTGTGTGGATCTGGGATTAGGAGAAGATGAGAGGTTGAAATGCGAGGCTGCGGTGTTGTTGCGTGAGCTGTCAGGGTCAGTTCTCCATCCATGTGACCCCAGGGTGCTGAGAGTGCTGATGTGGATGAGAACTGCATCTGCGACACCGGTGCTTTTAACGTGACGAGGCACGAGCTGGATGTAGAGGAGCTTGGTGGTATTTTGGCATGCTGTGTGGAGACTCCTAAGATCCAGGCTCCCTGCTTGCCCTGAACACACCCGGGATATAGTCCAAACTGCACATGTACAACGTGGTAACAAACTCCTAAGGCAAGCATTGGCCTGAGCTAGTTGTTTTAGAGGTTTCTTTCTCCCTTGAGCCTTGCTTTCTGCTCTCCCCTGTGTGATGAGGTTAGCCTGGAGCCCTGCACTTACCCCGAGTCCTCCCGCCCAGCGACTACTGGGAAGAGAAACCATAGTGGATGTTACCCCACTGGTGGGGAGATGTGGAGAGGCTGGCTCCGGCCTGGCCTGCCTTTTGATAAGATCAAAAGCCAATTAAGATCTCTGGGCTCATTACTGCGTTGATTCGGCTGCCTGAACCGTGAGGTAGGAGGCTGGGGCACGTGCATTGGGAGCGTTCGCTGCCGTTTTGGGGATACGATGCTCCTCCCAAACACACGGCCAGCCCTTCGTGGCAGGGGTCAGTGTGCCCCTGCACGAGCAGAAGCAGGCTGCACTCTCCTGTGGTGGGAACACAGAGGGACGTTGGGTCACAGTTTGCCGACGCTTTGAGGGGCACCTAACGCCACTGCCTGTGCATGTGCCGTTTCACCGTCCTGCTTGGCTGGTGGCACTGGGGTTGGGGGGGGGCTTTGGTGCCTTCAGATCTGTGCACGCCTGATGAGGTCTCTCTGTGGACGGTGATTTGGGCGATGCATGTTTGCAGGTGGGTGGGAGGCACGGGAGCGTTGCACGAGTGTCACGAATTAACACGCTCGAGCCACAAGTCCAGCCATCGATAGCAGCGCAGCAAGCTTGGCTTGGGGACCAGAGCGGCCCTGAAATGCTTGGAGTCACCCTGACATTTAGGGATTTGGCTGCAGTCTTGTCCTACAGCCCCAGTTCCGAGGTATGCAGGTGGTGTGTTACGCAGGGAGCGTATATATACATATGCAGATGCACATCTGTATCAGTTTTGTACAATATATTCATACCTATATATATAAATAAGAAGGTATGCACATCTTGGCCTCTAGGCTTAGATGTGCATAGATGCCCAGATGTGCTTAGATGCCCAGGACCATCTGTAAAGAGGGAGTTAGCTGGCTCAGCAGTGCTCTGCAGAAGCTTTTGATGCAGAGCGCTCTCCGTAGCTTTGAGCAAAGGCCTTTCCCCCTTGCCACAGATCATGACAGCAGTCGGGCGTAGCGCCGGCTGCATTTCTGAGTGCTGCCAGGCTGTGAACACCCCAGCGGGAGGCAGATTTGTGCCCACGTTTCGACCCAGTCCTCTGGCGTTTCACACCGGGGCTGGACGATCGTACGTCAGCAGCGGGAGACGTGCAGAGCATGGATGGGCAGGATGTGGCAGCTCATGACCATGTTTTTGTTCCTGGGCTGCCCAGAGGTGCTTGTCGTGGATCCTATGTGCTTTTTTGGATCGCCCTGGCCTGGCAAGCTTGTGCTGTAGGTGGGATGAAACGAATGTGACTGGTCAAGGATGTGGCAGCAAAACGAGCCATTGGTGTGGAAGAGAAATCTCGTCTCGCAGCTCTTTTCCCCTAATACTGAGCAGCGTAGGGTATGTGGGGGCTTGGCTTTGCTGCAGCACCTTCTGTGCTCACGGCTGCTTCGCTCAGTGCCTCTAAGAAACCTGTATGCTTCAGTCCAGCTCCTGGAGGGCTGGCTACGAGTGCTGGAAGGGATGTGCCGAACAACAGGCATGCAAGTACCTTGGCTGGTGTGTCGGAGGAGCGGGCGGGCTGAGCTCTAATCCCAGTGCTGGCAGCGTGCCTGCATCAGCTCTGCAAGTCTCTGCGCCCTCATCCCCTCACCTGGAAATTAGGAATGTTGGAGGGGCCTGATGCCGGGATCGATGATGCCGTGCTTTGAAAATGAAAAGCTTTTATGTGGAGATGTGTTATCGCTGTAGGCATCCATTTTTCTTCGCTGTAGAGGCAAGACAGACTTGATATGCTGTCCTGCCTTAACCTGTGAGTAGCTTAAGCTAAGTCCTGGCCCTAAGACAGCAGCTTAGGGCACATGGAAGTCAGCGTAGGTGGTGACAAGGAGAAGCGTGGGTTCCTGGTGCATGGGAGATGGGTAAGGCTGGCATGGAGGGAACTGTGGAAGTGTGCATGGGCATGTGTCCCTTCTCCACACCTTGGTACGCACAGTGGAGCAGCGCTGACCTCGAGGGACCGGCCATCAGTTTTCAAAAAGCTACTTCTGTGTCCCCTAGTTCCAGTCTCCTCAGAGCACTCGGAAGGGGCTGAGAAAGATGATGTGCGTATGCAGCTGAAGAGGCATCAGACCCCCAGCCCGACCCAGTGCACCAAAGCCTCCAAACGAGCCAAAATCAAGGTGACCATTGTCTCTCACGGAGATGCTGCTGGCGTGGGGAACGGAGCACCCCTCACCACCCAGGCAGAAAGTGAGTTGCGATTGCATAGCTGCTTTTTAACCGGAGAGCGGGCTCGTGGCTGTGCCCAGACCCCTTCCTCTGGGCCATGGCATGGGGAGGGGAGGGGAGCTGTGATTTTTGTTATTTTTGGAGGAGTTAGCCACAGAAAGCAGCCGGAGGCTCAAGGTGTGAGTGACTTGGGGATCGCTGGGGAAGTGTGGGGGCTGACAGCACGTAGGAGCTTGGCAGGAGCCTCTCTTTTCCATAGCAGTTGGGATTGTACGCTCCAGCGAAACGCTCGACTGCAGCCTCGTGAGCTGCGAGGCAAATTTTTACACCTTCCTCTGAGGCACCGAGCTGCTGCTGGAAGCAGGATGCTGGTCCTGGCGGACCCCTTGCTCCGAGCAGGTCATGCGCATCTCCAGTTCTGCTGCCCACTCCTGCGCCAAGCTCTCGCCTGGAACCTGGCTCCAGCGAAACGCTCGACTGCAGCCTCGTGAGCTGCGAGGCAAATTTTTACACCTTCCTCTGAGGCACCGAGCTGCTGCTGGAAGCAGGATGCTGGTCCTGGTGGACCCCTTGCTCCGAGCAGGTCATGCGCATCTCCAGTTCTGCTGCCCACTCCTGCGCCTCCTGCGCGAAGCTCTCGCCTGGAACCTGCTCCTGCTTTAGGGACGACAGCGATGTTCCTCCCTCTGGAAGACCTTCATGCATTCAGACTTCATGAATCAGCCGAGTGCCCTGCTCTGCTGTTGCCCTTTGGGCCTGAAGTCTGGCACAATATGTGTTTTGATACACGTATAAATGAACTGCAGCTCCTCTCCTGCCTCTGTGGCTGGGAAGACCCACTGCGGCGAGCGTTGCAGAGGTCCCTGCAGCCCAAGAAGAGGTGATGTGCTCAGTCTTCTTCCCCTTGAGCCTTTTTGAGGCCAAAATCTTTGGCTACTGTCACCTTTGTACCTGAAGGATGTTGCCCTTGTGGCTGGCGGCGCTGGTGTGTACATCTTCCTCGTGTCAGAGTGCAGAGCCCCAGCGATGTAAAGCAGTCACTCGTTAGCGTTAGCTCGATGCAGCGCAGGACTGAAAGGTCAGCGTCTCCATTCTGATAGGAAATCAGAGGTTTTCAAAGCCGAGAAACAATTCTGCTCCCTTAGAAGCATCTCTCGGTTACCTTAACTGTTGTTTCCAACTGTGAAAATGAACTCCTAAATTCACAGCCTTTTTTAAGGTCACAGTTTATCTTCTGGCAGCTTTAAAAAAAAAAAAAAAAAAACCAAACAAATCTCAGGTTTCCAAAATATTTTTTTTTTAATTTTCCGAACTTTACTTCTTTTCACAGAAAGGAAATGAATTGCAGAAGTAAACATGAACCAAAACAAGAATTCCCTCTTACCGTGTGTGAGCAGGAGGAAAGCACAAGACAAACGCAGTTGTATCCCAAAACGCCGCAATAAACAAATATTGTGACTCGTCGCATCCCTGTGTATTTTGTAAAGTGTCTTTTAAAGAATGCTTACAAAATCGATCGGTAGCGACCAGCCAGATCTGAATTAATCGGTTGAGGCAGTAGACCTGTGCTAGGATGGACTAGGAGGAGGGGATTAGCAGAGATGATGTTTAGGAGAGAGATTTGCATTTGGTGGATGAGGGCCTGAGAGTTCCCTGCTTACCCAGATTTTGAAGCAGATTCTTTCAATCCCGTCTGTCGTAACACTTCCACAACAGCAGCTTTCCGGTTTTTATTCGCAACTCTGCTCTCTTGGATGCTCCTGATCTCCCGTAGCGCGGTGGCTGGAGTGGGTGTTTATGGCTGCAGCGGAGGTTTCCTTGAGAAGATGCTTTGTGAGCGGGATGAGCCCGTGGCCTGCAGCGCTGTCTGTGGGGAGTTGTGTGAGAGAGGGGGAATCCCTAAAAACTCCCAGAGGAGAGTGAGTGAGGTCTCTTCTTTTTCTCTTACAGTTGTCACTGGAAAGCCAGTCCCCATGGCTGTCGGCCAGTCGCTGTCGGGCGCAAAGGAGCTGTCGGGACTGCTCACCACCCCCAAGTGAGTGCGACTTTTGTTTTTTATAACCTGTGGGTCTTTTTGACGGGCTGCTGATGGGAAGCACCGCAACAGGGCGATTTCTGTGTGTGGAGCTTTCTGGTATCTTGCTTATGACTGGAATTTTCTGAAGTGCAGGAGACTTTTATGCTCCTGAAAACTCTTTGTCAACTGGCAGTCGAGTCTGAGAGTGGCAGAAATGAGCAAAGTAGAAAGTATTGGGGCTGTTGGGTTATATTTCTCTAGGGTTTCCCAAATCTAAGTTTGCTTATCTCTGTCTTTTGAATGCCTGTGCTGTCTTTACCAGAAATTCAGTGTTGTCTTTAATCCTTCCCTTCGTTCCCTCTGACAGTCAAGCGTGTTTTTTTTTTTTTCCAAAGGTAGGGGAAAGAAGCCTCAATATCAGTTCATGATTCACTGGCCGTAGGGATTTCTGTTGGGGAATTAATCTGATATCTCACATCACTGATTTCCCTTTTAATTCAAACCAAGCTTTGGAGAACCAGACTCTGACTGATCTGGGAGGGGAGAGGAAGAAGAGCTGTTCTCAAACAGAAAGTAGGTTTGAAATGGGAAATGTTTCACTGCAAGGTGGATTGGGTTTGTGTAGGGTGACACAGCCCTTGCAGCACCTAGGCAGGCATGCACATGATAACGAGCTCACTTCAAATTTGGGAATAATGTGGATCTAGAATCATAGAATCATCTAGGTTGGAAAAGACCTTTAAGATCATCAAGTCCAACCGCTAACCTAACACTGCCATCCCACCTCTAAACTATGTCCCTAAGCGCCTCATCTACCCTTCTTTTAAGGGTACTCGACCGCCTCCCTGGCCAGCCCATTCCAGTGCCTGACAACCCTTTCTGTGAAGAAGTTTTTCTTAATGTCCAACCTAAACCTGCCCTGTTGTAACTTCAGACCATTTCCCCTTGTCCCATCGCCCATTACCAGGAAGAAGAGGCCGACCCCCACCTCGCTACAGCCTCCTGTCAGGCAGTTATAGAGGGTGATGAGGGCTCCCCTCAGCCTCCTCTTCTCCAGACTGAACCCCCCCAGCTCCCCCAGCCGCTCCTCATAAGCCTCGTGCTCCAGACCCCTCCCCAGCTTTGTGGCTCTCCTCTGGACATGCTCCAGCAATGCAACATCATAGGTGCTCTTTGTTCTAGTTGTCGCAGCGGACACAGGGCAACTTACCTTGTTACGGGTCTTTTTGTAGCTCGTCAGCTCCCTGCCTTACGCTTCCAGGAGTCCTGCTTGGTTATGTTAGGCCAGTGACCGCTCGCTGTCAAAGCCGTCACGCCTCGCTCTGTGCAGTTCATCATTAACTGGAATATTTCTCTTGTGCTCACTTCGTAGGCTGAGTTCGGCAGCAGAAACCTCCTCCACAAGTCCTGCTCCGTCTGCCGTGATCCCCAGCAGCACGGCGCCCAGCGCTTTCCATGCCCTGCAGAGCAGGCTGGTGGCCAGCAGTGCCCACTGCATGCAGGCCCAGCCAGCCAGCTGCCTCCAAGGTACCTGCCTCTCTCCATGTCTCTCTTGTGAATGTAAAAGGTAAACCAGGTTCAAAATAATTTGGTGGATCCTCTGTCTTGCATTCCCTGGTTGCTTTGGGTTTGGCTGAGGCAGCACCTGCAGTGCTTTGCTATTGCAGAGCCCCAGTGGGAAGCTGTAAAGAAGGTGCAGTGGGTGACCTGTTAATTGTGTCATCGGTATGTAATGATGCCTTGAGATGCCCAGACTGACCTTCCCTTGCCTCCTGGGTTTCACAGCTAACCTCGTTTTTAGCTGCAGCGATGAAATGTGTTGGACTGTGTGTGTGAAGCAGCTAGGAGGATCCCCAGCGACCTCAAGGCAGGCTGCTTGGGACGCTGCTCTTTAAAGAACAGTTTTGCAGACACCTGCCATATGACAGACCTGGAATTGCGTGCTGGTGAACTCACCAAGCCTGATTTCTTTATTTTTTGCTTTTTTTAGGAGCAGCATCTGCCAGCAGCCTGCTGCAAGGGCTGAGCTTCAGCCTGCAGGACATCGGGACCAAGTCGTCAGCCCTTCCTGCCAGCGTGGCTGCTGCTGGGCCGCCCGTGCAGGTATGAAGCCTGCAACCATCAGAGATCCCTCTCTGGTGGGAGGCTGTGTGGAGGTTAAAGTGGTAGGCGTCAGAGGGAACCCTAGATAGGCCATGTTTGCTCCAGAACCAGAAGAGATGAGGGATGGTAGGTGTGAAGTGCCGCTGAAATGATGTATCCAAGCCTTGGTGTTGCGCTGGGGGCTCAGGGTTTCCCGTAAGTGGCATGAGGTCTAGGAAACAGGACTATGGGGAGTTGTTTCTAGGTGGCTGCCGAGAAAATGTTAAGAAGAAGCTGGAGAATGGACGGGGGATCAGGGATCTTTCTACTTCTTGTTCTTCTGGGGAAAACGCACGCTTATGGCCTCTTCAGGCAAGCTCCCCATCCCTGCAGTTTGAGGTGACCTCTTTCAGAACGGGTGGCTTCATTAGAAGCGGAGCCACAGTTTCTCCCAGTCATGCTTTCAAATTGAAATGATTATGTGCAGGCTGGAAGGGATGAGTTTATTTGCCTCCTTGTGGCCACCAGAATGAAGCATGGAAACTCTGACCTCTAAAGACAGCTAGCTTCTGCATGAGGGAGAGGCTGTGTCATCCTGGCATCCCCTTTCCTTCCAGGTACTCACTGCTTCTGCTTCTCCTTCCAGACCTCAGCTGTGAAGACGCCTGCATCTATCCAGAACCTAAGTGCCATAACCACGGGCACCGGTACAATTGTCCGCACCATCCCAGTTGCCACCTCTTTGTCTCTGGGAGCCTCGGCGAGCGGGAAGCCCACAGCCATTCACCAGCTGCTGACAAATGGGGGACTAGCAAAGCTGGCCAGCAGTCTCCCTGGCTTGGCTCAGATCTCCAACCAGGCAGCAGGTGAGGGAGAAGGGGGGATAGGCATGCGATGCAGGGGCACCTGGAGCCCCCCTTCACCCCGAGACCAGCATTTCCAAAGGTTATTTTGCCTTTGAGCCTTGGCTAAGGGCAGCTACGTGTGCTAGCAATTTCCGAGCAGCTGCCTCTAATGGGAAGAGGTTTCTGATGCAGCCCCCAGTTGGTGAACGTGACCTCTGCAATCCCCATGTCTCAGGGACGTCTCGCTCGTGTGTTTTCTAGGCTTGAAGGCCCCAACGACCATCACTGTGACGCTGCGTGGGCAACCCAGCCGCGTGACCACGCTTAGCCAGGCTGCGATGGGGACTGTCCAGCCCCAGCTCGAGGAACAGCCGATGCAGACCCCTCAGGTAATTTTTTGGCATCATCTCTGTCAGAGAAAGTGCCCGCTGCTGCTCTCCTGAGCTTTTTCTGACCATCGTAGTCAAAGGCAGTTATGGCTGTCATGGGGAAAGCATTCTTGGCCGCATGTCTTGGGCGTGATGAGCTTTGTTGCTTTGCCGAGGCCGGACGGACAGGGACCTTGCGAGGCGGTGGTTAAGAGGACCCAGGTCATCTTCGTGTCTGTTAGTGGCAGGGTTGATTGTGCTCGATATCGCACTAGTACTGCACTGAGGGAATCTCCAGCTAGACTTGGAAAGCTTGACATCAGGATGGAAATTGTTACTGAAGCTCCAGGCTTTCTTGGCAGTAACAGCTTTTGGTGGGAGGAGGAAAGAATGGTTGTAGAGCGTTCAGGCAGGAGAGTGGGTTGGCCGCGCTGTCTGGAGCCATATTCCTCTCGAAAATGCTGCTTCTGACTATTAGATACCCTGACGTGAGGCTGGGCTCTCTGGGTGGTGGGGATACTGTGTTATTTCCTTCCACAGGTCCCCAACTCTTGTGCTTCCTCACTGCCACGCTGTTGAAACTGATTTATGAAGTGCTGAGCGTGTGCTCCAAGCTTGTACCTGCTTGATACAAATCTCCTTTTGGAGGTGGATCGCTGACAGTAGGAAAAACTCTTAGTATTTGGACTCTCAAGGTGTGCCAGGTACTGTCTCAAGGATCCTGGCTGCCTTCCTGCTTCCTAGGTTAAGTCTTGGCACGGTTGAGTTGAAAGCACACGATGCCAAGTTGGAGAGGGGTTTTTTTTGTTGTTAATGTGGTCTTGGGTACTGCAACATGGACCTCTCAACCCCAAATCCTGGAGGTAGCGAAAGGGGTGAATTTACTGCCAGTGTATCCTTGGACTCCATCCTAAACCGCTGTCAATTTTGAGACAGATCCGTAAATGTGAGGGCGGAAAGGTTGGCTCTGACCCCGCCCTGTGCAGGATGGTTGGTCGGCAGCGGCTGCGATGTGCCAACAGCAAGGTTGACCCAAGCTCAGATGGCTTCCCTGTGGTCCCAGCTCCAGCTCTGTATGGCCCTCGGGTCTCTCCTGTAGATGCTTTCCTGGATGTAGGAGAAAACAGGCAGCCCAGGCTTGTGTTCTGCCTCACGGGAGGCAAAGGGCTGCTGCAATGTGTACTGAGGGCTGTAACTGACTGCCCAACGGGTGCTGGCTGTAGTGATTTGAGACGGACATTCACAGGGAGAAAGTGGTTCAAAGAAGGAGTCAACAAGCTCCCAGAATGATAAATGCTGCAGCCTGGGCAGTCGGACAAGTGTGGAGCATCCGGTGGGGATCAAGCTCCAGTTCCCAACAGGGATTAAAAACCTGGCACTGAAGGCTGAGGATGCCAAGATCACTCCAGATTGGTTTGTTGTATTTTTTTTTAATTATTTTTTTTTCCCCTTACATGTGATTTTCCTATTTCCGAGGGTGCTAAGGCAGGTCCCGGGCAGGTGAGCTGGTGTAGGAGGGGCAGAGCAATCTTCACTTTGTAAATGAAGCTCTGTGGTCTTGGTCCTTGTTTCTGGGCTGGTTTGAGTTTGTGGGCAGCATTGTGGAGGCAGGGAGCGTGCTTCTGCTCCTTGCTGCTGTCTGCAGAGGCTGCTTGAAACCCTGAGATCTATTTAGGGAGGCGTCATCCTAAAAGTGAAGCCTTTGGATGGAAGTTGGGTCAGTATTAACAGCAGCGGCCGTAAATCCTTAATTTGTCCTGTACTGCTTTAGAGCTGGCGCTGCATCCACCGTTGCCAGTAATTTCCATGCAGAGTCCTGCTTTACTGCTGGTTAAAGCTCAGATTTGGGAGCATCCAAATGATCTTTCAGTCACTTTGCTAGCGCAACAGAGCCTGCGAGCATTGTCAGAGCTGAGCTTAGAGCCGGCTAAGGCAGAGCTTGGAAACACAGAGCTAGTGACACTCGGGGCAGATCCCACCTAGGCAGCAGGTGAGTCGCTTTCGTAGGGCTGAAACTCTTCATCCGTGCTGGAGACAGTTTTTGTGCTCTTCAAAGGCTGTTTAAGAAACCCTCAGAACTGGTGAGCTTTCCTCTACGTCCTTCATTACCTTTGAGGGACCCTAAATATCCGGCAGAACAGTTAACTCCCCAGTGTAATGAAACTTGGTACAGATCGACTGCGGGGTTAACGAGTTCATGTACAGGTCAATGTTTTAAGGCGGTGGCACTTGGAACTGGATACTGGATGCTACGCTGCGTGACTTTCACCTACAATGCCAAGCTTGTGTGTTCAAGGTAGGGCTTAACTGTGCGACCGGTTGCGAGAGTTGCTTCAGAAGCAAACTGAAAGCTGGCTTTTACAGGAAATGGAATGAGCTGTGTGTTTTTGCAACTAATTATAGCCCTTGACATCAGCTCGTGTGTACCTTTAGCGCATAGGATTACGCAATCTAGCAGGGCTTCCCGTAAAAGAGCAAATTTACAAAAGGCTTTGGGGGATAACGCTGCCGAGGGCTTAAACTCTTGTGTTTTCAGCAGTAGCCAAAGCTGCTGTCGCTTGGGTTCCCTGTGAAATTCCAGCTGACGGCTCCAGTGTGCCTGTGCAGGAAGCGTGAAGCCCACGCATCGGCTGTGCGCTGTGATTTTTAAACTCTGGGGGCTGGGGCACGATGCCTGTAGCAGCTGAGATGCAGTTTGAGTGGGTAACTCTTTTTCCTTCCCCCGTGGGCATTAAATGGGAGGCGGAAGACTGAGGAATCTCCCTGGGGAGTTTGGTGCAAATGCTTTCTGTGAGTAGCAGAGTAAGAAGCAGCGCAAGAGTGGTTGGGTGCCTTTAAAGTGAAAATACGAGCAAGCTTCAGCTTCTCTTTCCAAGAAACCGTTCCACGTGGCTTTTTCTAGGGGTTCCCCCCTGCAGCGTGGTTGTATCCTGAGAGTAGCTCCATAAAGCGTGGGGTGGCGCTGATGCTGGATCACGCTTTCGTTTTCTGCGTAGCGGCACGAAGGTTGACACTGGGATAAGCGGAGCTGCAAGCTGAGGTTTCACAGTTGGGGTTTTGTGCAAGGGTCTCCCTCAGACGGCACGAAGAGAGCTCTGACTCCAGCCCTTGCTGCTGCCCAGAGCCAGCTGCTGGTGGTGGATGTGCAGTAAGCAGGCAGCAAACACCTTTCTTCTCCTGAAGTCTGACCCTTTCCACTCCCAAGGGCAGAAATAATAATTATAGCTAACAGAACACCGATAAATTGCTGCACAAGGCATGGAAAAGCAGGCTGCGACTGGGATGAGCATCAGGTAGCAGGGGGGCTCAAGCTCAGGCTTAAGCAGTGCTTGTCGGTGGTGGAGGAAGGCAAGCAAGTTGGCTCAGAGAAGTCTGAGTGGAGTGATGGGTGTCTGCCTTTGTCACTGGAAAAGCTGCTTTGGAGCTTGAATTATGTCAGCTCAGGGCTGTGAGGGCTCCCAGGGTGCACGCAGTTGGCTCTCTGCAGAATCAGATTGCAGATGCACCTGGGCAGAGTTCAGGCAAGTGAAGCTGACCCCAAGGCGTTCAAAGAACCCCTCAAATGGGGCAATTTCCAGGCATTTCACTGAAGCTCGTTGCTGCTCTCCAGCCTGTGCTGCCATCTGCCTTAGGACACAAATCCAAACTCCCCAATTGTCCCAGTATTGGACGTCTGATGGGCGCTGGTGCTGTGTAACCAGCTGGTTCTTGTCAGAGGGGCTTGTACGTCTTCATCAAGCAAGAGGGAAGCTCTTCTGATGCAGAGGATGGTGTGTGCTGTTCCAGCTTTTGCTGGGCTTTCACTGGTGCCACTGGTAATTGCGTGTCCTTCTTGCATGTGGGTCTGCACCGTGCGGGAATCGTTCTTGAGCTCCGGGTTGTTCCTTCACTACTGCTGCAGAGGAAATGAGAGCCGAACCGATTCCCCTGACAGCCAGAGATGGGGATAGACCCATCTCATTCCACTCCAGAAAAAGGCAAGGAGTTTACACCGGCCTCAGCCCAAGCACTGACAGCAGTATCAGTGCTGCAAATGACGCCGTTGTGCTTTTAAAATACAGATCTCTGTGGATTTTCTCTCGGTATGCATTTTCCCTTGAGCTTGGTAATGCATGGTCGGAGCAAGGGCGAGGTTAGAAGAAGCAGGGCGAGGGCATGCTCTGATTTTATCTTCTTTCTTTAGGTGAGGGCTAGCGCAGGTCCCGAGGAGTGGTTGCAGCCCCCCGCAGACGGTGCATCCTCGGCAGCGGGGCGCTTCCAGTAGCTCTCCGTTACTTTAACCCTTCCAGGCTCCAGACGGTGCTGTTGGGAACCTGGCCGCCCCAGCTACCAGCGCCGCCTCTCCTGGCAAGCTGCTGTCTCAGATGGATCTCAGCAAAGCCCAGGCTGGCGCAGAGATGGCTCCCGCCGACCCCGCGGCACACCTGACCGCCGCCGCGGCAGCACCCGTAGGTGAGGCGCATGGCAGTCGTGGGGCGCGGGCAGCCGGCCTGGGGGCCAGAGCGGAGGCCGGGTTGGAGCCATGCTGCCGGGTGACGTGTGCGGAGTCACTCCAGGGAATAGCTGCCTGAACGCTGCTTATTTTTAAGCCCATCGTGCTTTTTTTTTTTTTTTTTTTTTTTTTGTCCCCTCACTTTAAGTTAGGTTCCTCCATGGTTTATTTGCACAAAGAGTTTTGGCTCAATGCAGCCGTTTTTTGAGCAGTTGACAAAGAGCAGGGTGTTAAAATTGAGCCTGAACACAGAAGGGATTATCTGCAGTTTGTGTTTAGGGCGCCCGTCACGCGCTCGTAGCACTAAGCACTCTCCCTGCTGCCTACATTTATTTACCTTGCCTGGGGAGAGCAGACCCATCCAATTACAGCTAAATAAATACTGCAGAGCCGTTACCCAGGCAGTAGCCTCAGACTTCAAAATAAAATCGACACAAAGCGGTGATGCGGTCCATTGCATCCCCAAAGGCTTCTGTACTGAAGAGCCCCCTGCCAGCCGAACCAGTGTTTGCGTTTCCCTCGGGCCAGCCAATTTCCAAGCAAGTGTGAGCAGGGCTCAGGCCAGAGCTGGGGAGATGAAGTTCAGTGGGGCTGTGCTGGTTTCCCAAAGAGGCAAACAAAGCAGCTCTGGAGTGTGGGTGCTTTTACCACGCAAGCCTGCTTTCCTTGTGGGCGTTAAACCCGGCTGACCGACCTCTGCAGACCCTCAAACTCAACAGGGAGGTGCAGAAGCACTGGGCTTAGCTCTTCTGTGTGTGTTTTCTTGTTCCTTTTGTTATTTGTCATAGCTAGTGGATGAAGTTACATCTGTGGAAGACTTTTACCTGCTTTCACCGGAGGCTCAGGTTGCCTTTGCACCCAGCAGGGAGGACCAGTTTGTAAGAAAGCTGCTGGAGCAGCAGGGTGGGCTGGGGTGTCAGCGCAGAAAACGTTCCAGACTCAGTTTCATGGAGCAGTCATGGCCGATGTCCTAATGGCATCACCACGTGTCTGTGCTGCTTCCCCAGCCTGCGTAGGGGTGGCTGGAGCCGCCTATTCCCGCCGTCCTCCCTCCCTTCCAGCCTCCCCGTTCTCCCCCGGGATGGTAGGGTTGGTGATCCCATCCTGGTTAGACAGGCGGTCGCCAGCCTTTGCTCCCTCCCCACTCAAGGCACTTCATTCCGGGGAGTTCCGTGCTGTGCTCGGTGGTGTTCGTGGCCTGCTGTCACCGCTGATGAGTGCGAGCAACACCACACTGCATCTTTTGATGCCGCTATATCGGAGAGAGAATGGTGCTGCGTGCGGCCGTGCTGCTTTCTGCTCCTCGGCAAGGGCTCAGGACGGAGGAAGTCGCAGCCTTGGGCGACTGCAGGGGCAAACTGTGGGCTGCTCTAGGTTGGGGTCTTTCTGGCCAGCGTTGTCTTTAACCAGCAGCGCCTCTCCAGGCTTTTTCCCATCCCTTGAGTGTGTCTAAACCCAGTGACGACATTTCGGTGACATCTCTCTCCCCTCTGTTCCTCTGTGTGCTGTGGCTGCTCTAAATGCAGTGGGGCAACCGACTCGGAGGGGGGTAACCACCACGATGCAAGCTCTGCCGTTGCTTTAGAGCGCAGAAAGTTTCATTTCACAAAGCCTAAAGTCTTTTAGCTGCCTCCTGGGGTGCAGTGTGATGAGGGACTGAGCACCCCCAGCGCTGCTGGTGGGACGGGGCTGGAGGCTGCAGAGATGAGCGAGAGCTTGCTGGGAGCTCGGTGTGGTCTGTGGCAGCTGGGCAGGTAGGATGGGGCAAGATAGAGCCTGCTTGGGCGAAGGAAGAACCATGATGTCCTGTCCCAGCGGGAGTGGACTTTTTGGGGGGAGAAACTGAAGGAAGGGAGAGCCTTCCTTGGGGGTCTAAAGGGGAGCGGTGCTGATGGCGCCCGAAGTTGGCTGTTGTGCTTTCCTTGCCCAGGCTGTGGCAGCGCTGGGGTTTGTTTTGGGGTCTCCTGGAGAGCAGAGAAGGCCAGGTCTTTCTGTTCACTCTGAAACCCTGTGACTTGGCCGCTGCAGCTGGGGGCTGCAGCCCAGGGTGGGTACCACATCCCTGTGGCTGCTGACCACACTCTCCCCTTCTCCACAGTGACCACCACCAGCCCCATGAAGACACTCTACGTCATGTCGGATGCCAAGCTGTCTGCGCTTACCAAGTCTGTGATGGGTGAGGCTACCTCTGTCCCCCTCAAACTGCCGGGCATCCAGCCTTCCTCCTCCTCATCCGCCAGCTCTCCCACTGGTGCTGTCACCTTCGCGACCTCCCCCCTGGCCAGCGCCCCCAGCCCTCCCAGCAGCTTGGTACACTCGAAGGTGGGACCTGTCCTGCAGACTGCTTCCAAGACGGTCATCCTGACCTCAACGCTGGCCACGATGAAGGGCGATGGACCCCTGGGACACATTGGGGAGAAGGTCAGCTTGACCAAGAGCGCTGCGGCCCTCGGCCATGCTCTGGGGGCAGTGGAGACCCTGGGGAGGGTTCCCTCCGTGGTGGACGACGGGAGCACCATCATCCACACCAGAGAGGCTCTGGCCAACAGACACTTGCTGCCCCAGGGAGTGCTGCCAGGAGGGCCCAGCACCACCCTCATAACGCTGGGCAGCAGCTCCTCCATCATCGCCACGGCGGGGCCCACGCTCGGCCAGAAGCCATAGGGACCCTTGGGCTGCGACTGGCACTTGGGGAAGACTGAGATTGGTGATGGGGTGGGAGAGGAGCAGCCCTGTGGGCATGGGGGGCTGGTTGAGGCTGGAGCGAACCAGGGGATGTTTTTTTGGTTTTGTTGCTGTTTAATAAAACTTTTTTTTTTTTTGTTCTTTACTGACTTCATTGCACGTGTCCCTTCCAAAAGCAGCTGTGGCTGCAGCTCAGCCCTCGACCGCTTTTGTCAAGGGCCCGTTTCTCTTGCTGTGAAGGCGTGGAGGGACAAAGCAGCCTTGTGCAGGCAGGGAAGGATTCATGCTGTGGCTCCTGGGAGTTTGGGCAGCACCCAGGGCACCTCCTCCTGCCTCTGCCGGTACGTCCCTCCTCCAGACAGAATTTTTGACCAATTCCTCCTACTATTGGGAATATTTACACATGGCTGAAAAAGGCTCAGCTTTAATCTGCCCTGAGCCTTGATTTAACCTTTACAGTTGTGTTTGCATTGGGTAGGGCCGGGCTTGTGCTTGAAATGAGGGAAGCAGCAGAAAGGGCGACACAAAGGTGCTGAGCCACAACCTGGGGCCTGAGGTGAGGTGAGGCTGAGTTCATGCACCATCAAGGGGGGCTCTGCCAGGGACAAGCGTTTCCCTCCCCCCCCGGGCTGTTGCTGGGCTCTTGCTTTTGCAGGACAGAGCTTACAGCTGTGAATTGGTGGGTGTTTTTGTGGTTATTGGGGATAATCCCGATGCTCTCTACATCTCCATCCCATCCTGCAGCTCTGCCACACCCCCAGCCCTTGACTCTTGCTTCCCTGGAGGGACATGGGGTGTGATGCCAGCTGAGATGCTTTTGGGGAGCAGTGATAATTGGCAGACAGAGACCTGTGGTACCAGGGCAGCTCCATGCTCCCCTGAACAGTGGGCACATTTCCCGAATTTCCTCATCCTACTGGCTTGTGAGATCTTGCTTTTGGCTCTGCTTGGCCAGGCCAGCAACACACCATGGCAAAAGCAGGGTGTTTGTTATGGGGAGCCCAAAACCAGAGTGGGACAGTAACAATTTTCCCCTTGTTGGGAGAAGAGGGAGATGCCGTGAATCCCTTCCCACCCCTCCTGGGCTATACATGTGCCGCTCCAGCTGCCCTCTGGCTTTTTGGGGACTGTCCACCTTTGCCTTCATAGCCTCTCACACCCCAGACTTGGCGCTGCCACGATGGTGAGTAGCAGTCTTGAGGATGCTGAGCTTTGCCACCGCCCCAAACCCTTTTTCCTTTTTCCCTGGGGTTTTGTGGGGTGAAAAGAAAAAAAAA